AGAACTAGGACTCTCCGGTTAATGCGCCCGCCGTTTATTAAGCCCAATTTGGGCTGGGCCCGAGGTCGGCTTAATAGCCGGCGACTATTGTATTCTGTTTCTGGTCAGAGTCTTTTATTGAATTATTACCTTGGTCTGTCGCCTGAAAGGTTTTGATGGGATTAATCCGTCGGTCAAATATTCAACCGCTCGAGGGTCAAGAGGCCGGAATCGTCGATAAAATGTTCTTTTTTATTCAAAGATAAATAAGTAAAGAAGATTCTAAAAGTTGATTTCGCGTGGTAAAAAATGTCTTTAAGTTCCTTCTGTGCTTTCTCCGGTTTCGTCCGATCTCGTGCTCTCCAGCGTGTTTTCCGCCTCTGTCTCTACCACGGTTACTAAAAGCAAGTGCTCAATAATAGTCAAACAACAAAAGGATGCATTAAAACAGGTAGTCGGTCTGGCCTCCTGCAGTCTCAAGAACTAGCTAACGATATCTTGAGAGTAGCATGCCCTGAGAGTAATACGACAATCTGGTGGATGGATAACGTTAGCATTTAGAAACTGCTCAACAACCTGACTGTTGAGCAAGCAAGCATCGCAAACGTTGACATACAGAAAATGTGTCCGTCCCGTTAAAACAAGTAGTTCAAGACAAGGAAGCGTGGCGAGCTGCTGCTCCTGGAGCTCAAGACTGAGCCCCAAAGCAGGGCGGAAAGAGCGAGTTTCGCTAGCAACCGATGAACGTTCATCAAAGAGTATTCCCTAGTTAGTTTGTTTGCTAGTTTAGGATCATCATTTTACAACAAGGATTTAAAAATCTGCATCCATAATTCATGCAAGGTTCAATACAGTGGTTAGTCATGACACCATAGTTGAACCTTTAATTTCGGTGAGGTCTCTCACCAGGATGGGCGCAAGTATGGTGACTTGCGCGTGAAGTATCCTATAGTGCTGGTAGACTTGTACAACATCTACTGCACTCACTCTTTTCGCAACCACCAGGGCCCGCTGTCAAGGTAGCGACGAAAGGACCGGAGGCGAGAGCAGAAGATGAGTCGTGTGATGTAAATCTGTAGCTAGGCACGCCACCACACCTCTTATGTATGGCCTTTGTTACCCGTTCGTGCCCCCCTCCACCCTCCCTCTTATGCCTGGGGTGCCCTATCTGGCCTCCCCGTTTGTCCAGTGTATCGAAGGTGTGACTCTCGCGTAAAAGTAAACTTTTATGCTGCAAATATTCTGACACATAACTTCCTCCGTAACATCACCCAGACAGCGGCTTGGTACCGCCCATTAAGTACCCTCTCAAGCCTGACGCCACTACACCTGTATGATGAAACACGCGCAGTTTAGCCTATCGATATGAGCAAAAATGTGAGTCACGATAGCTGGGAGAAGAACTTTATTCGCCTGGCGTTTCGGATCCCAGCTCAGACGCATTATCAGAGACGCATCAGATGAGGTTAATTCGTACACAGAGAGTTACAGTATTTATGGGATGCAATCGTTAAAATACCCGGCTGTCAGGGCCTCTGTAAAGCGCCCAGGCAGAGTGGGACAGATGAGTTCCGTTAGCGGTCGGTGGATATTGATCACTGAGTGTCAATTTCGCCCGATTTAAATCGGCAAGACAACGATCTTGTAGCTCGGTAGTTGGAGCTTTAAGCTCTGATCAGAAAGGTCGCGAGTTCGAGGCTCGGGTGGGACACCACTTGGGTCTGGATGTGACTGACTAGCTGACGGCGTCTAATAAGCCAGGAATGGTCATTCCACTCTCATTTGTCTTTGTCGGCAACATTATCTGCCTACTATGTACCTCTGGCGATTAATGACTCTACTTTATCGAGGTTGATTGCCCTCTACTGCGCTAACGGCTTGGTGGCTAGCATACAAGTCGCAATTTGTTGAAATTTTATCACCCGGGTTAGAAGTGGTGACTGCTCAGCCACCTGGCTCCCCGACATTGGCGTTGGAAAGTGTGTCCGCTTGCGCGCTCCCCCGACTGGTTAATTGCCCTGGTCGGCAACATTCTCATAGACCAAGATACTTAGATATCGTTAGCCCCATCATTGTATCTTACGGGAGCGGTGTTAAAAGGGATTTTATGATTGACTTATAAAACAGGAAAGAAGAAATTAATTGAAATGGTAGCATATAAGTGCAGAAAATAATAGGAAGTAATTATTTAAATTATCAAAAGTTTGCGCATTATAATTAAAAGAACAACTAATAGGAAACAAGATCTGCGCAAAAATTGTCTGCAACTAAGCTACAAACCAATACCAACTCTGTATCGAAACTTAGAGTTTAAAATGAAACCATGAAAGGTAGGCTCCTCCCCATTTTTCTTAAGCTTGCAATAGCTGATCATGCATTTGGACACATATGGTAGTACGATAAGCCGACAAGCAACCGTATGTCACTTAAAAGAAATAAATCGAACTAAAAATTAAGCTAAATATAAACTATTACTTAAATTAAACAAACATACTAAACAATAACATTATTTGGTCAACCTACGTCTGCGCACCGAACATGGGCTGGAGAGATCACCGCACCTGCTAATTAACTGGTGGAGGGCCGTAAGCCATGATTCCAGTGACTCGCGGTTCCTGCGATTGTCACGCAATGATGTTTTGTTTCATAAACAGCGGATCCGCCCATGTTTCTGTTTACACTGCAATCGTGGTATGGACGGTTTTTCATTTCCACACTTAATACTGACTGTTTGAACCATATCCATGAGCTAGTAATTTTTTAACATCTGTCTTCTTGTGTGAACAAGTCAGCAACAAAACAATGGTTTATGAGTGAATGTAGTGTTGGTCGCCAACGTTAGATAAATATATTTAACTTAGTACTATATGCGTTTTAGTAGGCGAAGTTATCGCTATTGATTTAAGTGTAATGGCATTTCCTTATAGCCTGACTCATTCCGTTGCATCTCTTTACTAAGGGTTGGTTGAATTTGTCTTACGGGTTTACCGGAATTACTTAGTTTAAGTTCATTACGCCCCACACAAGGAAATCTTTAGCGAACAGCGATTGCGTTTTGACTACAGAAAGAACAAAACCTATACAAGATGTGTTAGCAGCTTTTGTTACTTAGTTCAACATACTCTGTACGCAAATTGCCCTGCCCGCACGGAAACCTCTAGTAATCGGCAAAGAATTTGGCCTAATATGACTTTTACGCAACCGTGAATTCATTTTGTGTTCGAAATGTCGAAAATGGCTTTTTTGTTAATTTTTCAATCATCGCGCGCTTGCTCGTTATATATTAACTTAATATAAAAATTGTTCCTAGTATTTCCTGTTTTTGTTCGCTAGATATTTTTCTTTTCTCACCTGCACCTCCGTGATTCTCCATCTATGAAACCCCTCTAACCACCGGTCCCATAGGACAGAATTCTGGATCTAGAGATATATGATGTGTACAACCAAATCTACCGGTTATGCTGCTTAGTGTTTTTTCTGGAATTTTAGGAATGCAAAACAACCTCATCTCCTGTACGATTGTGGTTCTGATGTGTGTCGGTTGTTCCATAGCCATCGGCGTAGTGAGTATCGCCTTTCGCATCGTGCCGGCCGCGCTGGTTAACGCCTTCCTCTATCTCACCGCAGGTAAGCCTACAAACTGCCACATTTTCAACCAGCATTGAGCCTCCCTTTTCTTTCGGCTGAAAGTAGCTTGAAGGAGGCTAGCGTAACACCGGAAGGCGTCTGTTATCTATACAAATAATCACGGTGTCTCGTTTAGCTTACAAGCAAGATTTCATCTTTTTCCTAAAGCATTTGGTCTACGCGCGCAAAGGCAGTCTGCAACAAAGAGATATTGCAGATAGGTGTACGCATTCGCTTATAGAGCGTGGAACCTATATGCCTAAGTTTAAGAAAGGCTGATGTTCACTCGCAGGCCAGCATTGATACATGCACCAAAACCTGGAGACAATAATGAAAAAGCTTACGCGAATTCAGAACTTGAAGGGAGTATAAAACGTAATATTTGTCTGTTTAGAAATGAAAACTTCTTTGAAAAGCTTCGACTTCCGAAAATTAGAAATGATTTATAAATGTTAGTATTATATTATGATTATATTATTAAATATTCTTTTTATATTATTGTCAGATGAAGTCGTAAATATACCAATTTGTGTATATTAGAAGAATTTCTCATTCTTCAAATTTCTTTATAGAAATTTCTGGTAGTGGATCGCAGTTAGTTTTAGGTCTTTCTTGAAAGTCCGGCGAATCTTTCGGGACTTTTCGTCTTTTAAAGTTTTTTTCCACAAAGTTAGATTCATTTAGATGTGTCGGTCAAAACCTTCAAAATGAAGTATTTTTAGAAGCATTTAACAAAAAAGTGTGTTCTTCGATAGCAGTTCTTATGAAAATTGGTCAAGTTTATAGAAATCTCACTATCGAGGAAAATAAACGACCTCAAAGTCGCATACTAGTACAGTACGGCCCCTTTATCGTGCAAAATGCCGAAACTAGCGAAATATTGCTAATCACTCGGAAAAACGGCATAAGGTAGAGGAACAATACTGATTATCGTGCAGCTGGCTTTATCATGAGCTTATTTCTGACCGCTTACAAGAAGCATATTTTTATAAAAAAAAATGGCTACTTAAGTAGTATGCATTTAACCCATTGATTTTGACAGCCCTTACGAATGCAGATATATTTTATAGAAAACATGAAAATATTCGTTCTCACAATCATTTGCTAGAAAAGTACGCCTTTTTAACTTGTATACTTAAAGAAAGGCTATCCTTCGGCTTTAAAAAATGTCTTATTATGAGATCTTTGGTGGTTGTGAAATGTTCCTTCATAATACATCCTGTTCGTCAATTTATTAATGTTGCCTATAATGTATACAGCATGATGCACATCTATTGCCAACTTTTATGAGAACTATGCAACCTTTTCTTCACAACGTAGAGAAGTGCATGATTTCCATAGACAGGATGTACACAGCATGCAGTGTAGTAACCTTGAATTCAAGTATAACGATCGTTAGGTTTAAAAAATATTCGGCAATTTAGAAACCTTCTTAAAATTAAAAAAGGCCATTTCTTTATGCATAATGTGTAATGAAGGCGTGATTGTCTACTACATGAGTACAAAGATGGATAATTATGGGAATGTTCTCTTTAAAATATATTAGAATTTATAAGGACAGTCACAATCACTTTACTCTTTGTAAGTGGTCAGAAAGAAGTTCTTTAAAAAGCCGGCATTCTGACATGATTGAAATGAATTTAGATTACCACCCTACTTAATATCGGTTTGCGAGTGATTATCCGTTTTTTGCAACCTTCGGCAATTCGCGCGAAATACAGAGGTTACCTCTTTAAAGAACGCTTCAATTAGATATTCAGCCAGCAAGTACCTACGTACTTTTCATTGTTCGAAGGTTACTTCAAAGTTAACCTGGGGACTTTTGACCGGTATTTGGATGTTCTTGAAAAGTCGTGATAAAATTTATGCTGAAATAGAAGAGCTCTATTTGCTCTTTATAGTGGAGCGTTTTTTACTATTTTTGATTACATAAATTATCTATTTAGTTGACAGATATTTATGCATGTTACCTTTTACAAGGTAACGCCCAAATTAAAATAGATAATTTTGGCCATTTTTAACTTATCCGAAAAATAATGATACACTTTTCACTGGAAATGACGGAACTCGTTTTCGTCTTGGCATTGGGGTATTTCAAAACCATAGTTGATAACTTTCGGGCCGCGTTCTAAGACTACAAATGCACCAAAGGGTGGCCATTTATATACCAAGCTTTTGCGAAAACTGTTAATCTATTATCTGTTCTGTTTCTGTCCATATTCTACAAAACATTATCTTGTCGAAGGCTTCAAATTTACTATAGATTTTTTTCGACGTCCATCTCTGAGGTTTCATCATTCACACAAATTTTGATCTACGCAGGTAAAAGCAGCTGTCAGCAAGGAGTCTGCAGACAGAAGTAATCACTTCTTTGGATAGCTTTATGGTTTCGATCCCATTTAGGAGTCGTTCATTAGTTGCATCAACAATAACTTATAAATAAGGGCTTGTTAGGACAGTGAATAGCTTAGTTGATTAAATCTCATGAAGTAAACGTAATTTACCTACAATTTTAACTTCTACACTTTACCCCCCCTCCCATATAAATGAAACGGCCTGATGAGAATTTATTGAAAGTATAAGTATGCTCGCCAACTGCTCTTCGGATAAACACAGAATGTCGGTAACAGTCTATCAGATGTATCACCACGGAAACAAAATCCCAGAATTCTGTAATACGTGTTCGGTCGTATTATTTATCATTATTTATTTCTTCATTTTAATTTATTTTTCATTTATTACACGGTTTGTAAGTAAACTCGGTTGAAGAATTGCTTCTTGTGGCGATTCTAGTCGCTTCTGTAAACAAACAGAAGTAAGCGATCCACAGATCTGGCCACAGTGTACGTGGGGTTATTCAGTCGTGTCTTGTAGCTCAATCAAGAGCTCTCGCAAGCAATCGCCTTGTAACTAGTGATAATGCGTTGTTCGTGTGGGCCAAACTACCCAGCAAGATTCGATGTGGAAATTATTTCAAAAATAATACCTACTTGCAATTGGTAGTAGGCCAGGTGATTTACTTAGCCTCAGATGCTCATGGCTGAAACGCAGTCATTGCATTGCCGTTAATGTTTCTCAAGAAGATGGACTGTTGTATGAGTTCAAAAGCTCAGGACAATAAAAAAATTGATCCGGTGCTCCACAATTCTTCTTCTTCACCCATGCAAATACCTGGAACGCGAACGTTTTCATTCATTTGTGTTGCTCAACTGTTACAAGCAACGAGAAAAGGGTGGATACACTGTGGCGAGGCATTTTTGTGACATTCGAAAAGTTATGGCTGATGCTGTAACTCAGACGAGTGCAACCTCGGAAAATCTGTCGAAAGTCTGTCATCGGTAATGAAGTCTTTATTCAGGGATGCAGACTGCTCACTGAGCTATCTAAGTCATAACCACTAGCCGCAGGCTCCCTGACCTCTTATCGCCTTCAGTTATATCATTCTTACGTACAGTAGCAAGTCGTTTGCTGACATTGATCCAGTATTGGTCACGAAGATAGCTCAGTCAACCCCTGACAGAGTGACCGAAGTAAAAAAAGAGAGACCGGATTATAATACCCGTCGGAGTATACTGAGCCGGACAATTAGCAAACGGTCAATGCTTTGATTTCAAGTAATGTGCCCGCGAAATCCCAATCTGCATGATCTTATATCGCGCCTGCAAAGTTGTTGCTGTCGTGTTTGAGCCGGCATCTCAGTTTCTATCACACATCCAGACTGCTACCCGGTCGCCTAGGCTATACCCTGCGTCACACCCCAGAAACGTGTTCTCCGTCCTCATTTTTCCCCGGAAACATTTCTAATGAACGACACAAGCAAAAATTCGAAACTGAGGAAGAAATTGACGGAAATAAATTCGATCGCTGTGACGAGCATTTTATTCGCCTCATCAAATGTAATGAAGCCGAAGCGTGAGCTGTGAGTTGCTCCCGTCATCAAACACACAAGAGGGGTTAAGTTCTTTTTCGGTTTATATATCAGATTGAAATAGTCGACATTTTCGACAATTTATGGTTCAGGCAGAAGAAAACAGCCAGTTAGCCTTCCCTGATATCCTCGGCTGAAACAAAGTTTGTGGTGACCTCAAACTAAAATTCTTCAGGAAAAAGAAAAATACGATGCAGGTGCCGAACTTTCACAGCAACTACCCAATCAAGCACAAACGCAGTTGCGTAAGGACGCTATATCATTTCAAAATGCATGCTATGTCTATCATTTGTAAAGGAAAGTATGTTTTTTCCTCTACGGTGTGAGGTCGCACAGTTCTTATAAAATTTTGCAAAAGATGTGGATTATGCTGTATACGTTATAGGCACCACTTATAAATTGACGGATACGGTGTATTATGAATGAAAATTTCACACTCGTAAAGAAGCTCATAAATCGAATTTTTAAAACTGAAATATACCCTTCCTTTAAGTATGAAATTTGAAGAAGGCTAATTTCTTACCAAACCTGTACAGGAAAGACTAATTTTGTGAATGTTTTGTATAAAATATATTTAAATTTAGAAGCGTGGTGAAAATAAATGAGCCAAATGCATACTGCTTAAGTAACTATTTTAACAGAATATGCGTTCTGTAAGCGGTAACACAGAAGCTCATTAAAAAGTGGGTGTCCTGCCGTGACTAAACATGATTTGAGATTAGGCTGCACGATAATCAGTATAACAACCCTACTTGATGTCGGTTTGCGAGTGATTATCAGTCTTCCGAAACTTTTGAAATTTTTCACAAAATACAGGCCATTCTGTAAAACCAAACGCACTAGTAAAAAAATCGGGGTTCCCGTCGAATGGTTGGCAGGGCTAAAGGTGTCTGCCTAGAATCAAACAATTCACCTCGAAAAATAGAGAAAGGACAGTGCAGTACATAGCAATGTAACAGGCTTTTCATTCATAGAAGATAAGCACCGTCGTTTTGTCGATGGATTAATTCCCTTTCTGTCTCCCTTTTTCGCCCTTTAGGTTTGTTTGTTATTTTCGGCAACTTCATTCAGCAAATCAAGGTCGACAGAGTGCAGTCCAAATGGGGCCCCTGCTACCCAATCGCTTCACTACCAGAAGAGGTAGGTC